ATAAATGTCACTCATCACTACTGCAAAATGACAATATCAGCTGCTACTGAGAGTGATATGAATAAATCAGCACTTGTTCATACCATGTTGTTTGCATGAATATGTGTTTGTTCTTACAGATGCAACTTTGATCCCCCCTGAGAACCCAAACAGTGTTAAAGCTACAAATTACCAATGCTACATGTTGTATTGTTTCTCGGTTTATTACCATCACATTAGTTTTAGTGGTTCTAACTACAAAAAAGGAATATGAATGATGATAGTAAAATCCCAAATGTATTTCTTGATGGCTTTAAAAACATTACTATTCAATGAATTGTAGCTTGCTGAGTTTCTCTTTGTTTGTTTTGGTTTGGTTTGGGTTTTTTTAATTCTCCTTTATTAATCACTGGAGTTTTTTTTTCTTTATTCAAATCTTTTGAAAGCTGACAGTTTCTGGTTGCAATTTGAGTATTTTAATGTACTGTAGCAGTTAGCACCAGAAGCTCAGTGTTTAGGGAACTGAGTTAGCTTGGTATGTCAGATCACTGCAGGAGACAATTTACAGCTCACAGGTTGTTAGCTGCAAGTTGGAACTAATAATGGTTTATGTTTGTATTGAGGTGAGAAAGCTTAGAATTGAAAACAGCTGGCCATCATTCTAAAATCATTTGTTTTGTTTTGTTTTTTTTATGTGTCTATTTTCTGTTTATTTGGCATGTGTCTTCAGTGAGTGTTTGAATCATTTAGTTATTTTTCTTATTATATCTCTGCAGTACCCAACTATTTTTAAAGTCGACTTGAGTCGAATGATTGTTGTTAATGAAACTGATACATGTTGCATTAGCTTAAATAGCTTAAATAGCTAAATTTCCACCTACTATTTAGGTTAGCTAACTTAGCCGACAGGTACAAAATAAATACTAGTAAGGTACATGCAGCAGCTGCGATTTGTGATGTTATGATGGCTGTGTCTTTGGAAAACAGGTTAGTGTTTCACTGTACAAACTACATGTACTGTAAGTGTATGTGCTCACTTGGGAGTAAAATTTGCCCATAACCAAAACAAAGCTTCTAATTATTGTACCATGGCTTTGAAAGACTTTATGCAGTACATAATAGAGTCATACTGTAGTGCTAGCTATATGACTTTACAGTTTAGAATTGTCATTGGCTAGCAAATGAAATTTGCTCCCATTTCAATGTTATTGTATAATTTGTTGTTCAATCTAATTTAATTAAAAAAATATAAAGATCCTTGACGTTTGTTTAGAGCTCTGCACAAATACGGTATATACTAACTGCATGAACACAAAGAAAATATGTATGACTTTGATATACAGTAGGTGCCACAGGTGATCAAATTAGCAGAACAAATACAGTATAGACAATACCAGTAAAGGAGCAACAGAGGAAGAAAAGAATGGAAAATAGACAGTGCTAGATGGATAGGGGAAAACAGCATTGTGAGATGCTAATGGGAATGTTTTGAATAGTGTGTCTAACGACCTAGACACAGTGGGTCATTCACTTAACATGTGCACACACGCTCACACACAAATATGCATTTATGTCGTACTGTTCTGAGGAAATGAGTTCTTATCAGGAACAGGGTAGATAAGCAGAGGTGGTGGGCGACTCTGGACTCACATGTGCAGTAGTTACTCTTGTTACAGGAGTCAAAACAGTATGAACAAAGTGGAAGTATATGAAAATTATTTTCAGAAAATGTAGCATAGCCAATTTTATGGTAATATTACAGAGAGATTTTCATTTAATACTGACTTAATTTCCTCTCTTTCCTTCATCTGTCTCATTCATTTATCTATAGAAGTGATCAAAAAAACCCACCCATATTTGTATGTTGGTCTGAAAAAAATTGGACTATATCAGAGAAATATGTTAAGAATATTAAAGAATTTATAACTTTTATTAATGTCTAGTTGTGATCAGTTGCAGCAGTGTTCTTGCACTACCTAAGTACAGTAGCTCTTTATGGACATAAATATAAAAGTATTATTTTCCCGTGTGTGTGATTGACTGAAGTCACATGTATTTGCTATACAACTGCTAACAAAGCTCACTGTAGATTATTTAGTGCTGAATCTTTTTGAATATTCTTCATAGTTTCTTTTTAGAGTTCTAAAGTGCAGTTTTCAAATATTGTTCCTGAAGGATTTAGTACCTCAGCGAAAGCTAAAACTAATCTTTTCTGATAACATGTGCAATAGACATTAGACCCACAGTTTCAAAGTAGTCTTTTAGGAACTATTTTGTTTACACAGCACAGAAGAATCGATTTTAAGTGCCTCATAATTGCCTGAAAATGTTCCTTGTCTTTTAGACTCAGTACAGGAAACGCTAATACTACAAAATCACACTGTTTTTACTTTCATTTTTTTTGTAAATCCTAATTTACACTGCTTTAAAATATGAGGGTTGGGGCTGAGTGCCATACAGATAACCAGCTGATACAAGCCTGAAGTACACTGTGCAGTGGTAGGTGTGTTTGCCAAGCTTCACATACTTACATTTGACTGCTTATTACTTTTTTTTTACTTATGGCTTTGCTTTAAATAACCCAGACCTATTTAAGGCAATCTTGAGGGCTGAGCAGGCAATGCCCCTACAACACCATTTCACTTTGCATTTGTCTTGCTTTATTTATCTACTACTGTTTTCACTTTTCAGGTGTCCTGTTCAAGAAATCTTGTCTCAGTGCTGTTTCCCTGTCACCAGACTGAACTTATCTGTAACTGATACTTGCAGTGGCAAAACATTTTATCTTTTTTTATTTGGTTCTTTTTATCAGAGTTATGCTGTGTATACAGTAGGCACTGGAAAAGAGAACATTTTTATTCCTTCTACATATCTACATTGTTTTAGTGTTCCAACCTTACTGCTCCTATCACATTTGTCACTTGCACATTACTAGTGTTCAGATAGCAGACAGCACAGGCGTACTGTATTTGTGTGTCATTTGTATTTTGTGTGCCAGTGTGCTAACAATGTGTGTGCAGTGTGGGGAGTGGGGGTTGCCTCTATACAAACAAGTATGCACATTCTTATCTGTTTCTTGAACTTATATAGCAGTGTAATTTTAATATCCCCCTCCCCCCATCTTTTAGTTGCATGCACTGTTTGTGTTTCTTGCAGGTGTGCTCAGGTATTTACATTAAACAGAAGCCTCCGTGTGCTGTTGTCCTCGCTCGTTGGCCTTAGGCTGCTTAGAACAACCGCTGCATTGTAAATTCACCTTTTGTTCTGTCTCTCATCATCTCTGTTAATCTTTTCATTATTTCATTTTCATTATCATTTCATTGTCTAATGTGTTGTCCCTGTTTCTCAGTCTTAATGTATCTCTGTTATTTCATCTCTCTCTATGTTAGTTCTGTGTGGCTAAAAAACGGGTTAATTGGCTCATCTTCAGAATGAAAAGACTGCAACTGCTTTCTGCATGTTATAAAATAGAGAAAAGGGGTACAAGAGATGGAGAATTTAGTCTGTGTGGGATAGAGGTCAAACTCACATTCTAGCTCCATATCTCCCTCTCCAGGCTGAAACAAGGATAGCATGTAATATAGTTTGCTGGTTTTGTGTGAGCTACATAAATGCAGACAAGCAAGTAGTGTGTCAGTGGGTTTATTGTTTTAAATTACAACAATGATGAGTATACTATTCTAAAGTACATAATAACAGTTAAAGTTAAACTCCATCTATCTTCAAAGGTGTTTTCACTGAATCTGGCCTATTAGACCTTTGCCGACATTGAAGGGGGCCACATTATGGTGGGAGACATGTGAGATCACTGGATTCTGTTTGATAAGAATACTAAATATGTAATATCTCCCACTCCAGCAAGTGCAACAAAATGAAAAGGAGACTCAGAGAGATGCCAACTAAACAGTCTGTGCACTCAGCCCTCGGAAGAAGTCTGGTGAAATGAAAACTAGCTGTGTAGGACCGCTGAAGGAATACACATCTATACGTTTTTAAGTTATGGCTGATTAGGCTTCAAGTTGAAGTTGGGCTGAGCTATGCTAGAAATTATAAGAGGTCATCAAATTTTATGTGCCAATAAAAATCCTAAAACACCCAAAACAGGTGCAAAGGAAGAGTGAGTTAAATGTTAATCAAGCATACCCACATATACAGTGCCTGAGAAGAGGTCTAATTAAGCAAAATAGGTAAAACCAGGATATATACATTAGGACTAACTAAACACCAGAAATAAATGTTTAAAGGGGTGAAAATCAATCAGATTTCTACCATGCCTCTTTTGCCCATTGGTCAAACGGAGTACTGTGTCAACACACTGTAGGACATTAGTTACTTCTAATATAAAAAAAAAAAACAGCTCCAGATTATGCCAAGAAAAGAGGAGTGAGCCCAGCTGTTGTTGTCTATTCTGCCAACAATACTACTACTTTGAAATGTTAACTAAATGCTGGGATGTAACAAACAAAGCCAGTTCAGCTAGGCGCTACAGTACTGTAAGTATCGGTCCCAAAAGAGCATAGAATTGCACATTCAACAATAACTCCGGGCTTCAGAAAAATGGATTATCTCATATTTCCCTCTGCAGCCTGCCCTCTGCTTCTCTGGTGTGTTTGTGTGTTCTTCTAAGCACAAATGATGTTGTGCATTTTTTTTGCATATCACCGTGTGTGTGTGTGTGTGTTTGTCTTTGGATTTCAGATCACTTTTTCCCCCTACTGCCTCTCTGTCTACAGGGAAACATTATTTTACTGAAGGGAGAAGGCTGCACATAGTAGATGAAGACTGTATGGTTAGGACTTAAATAATGTGGTCTGGGGGAAAAGTCGGGAAGTTTATGATGCAATTTGATAGACATAAAAGTCTGGGTTAGACTCATAAAGCACATTTTAATCCAAGAAAATCACCATCATTTTCACAGGTACAGTAAATGAAATACCCTTGTTCTGTGTGAAAGTTTATTGAAATGTTTTACTGTGTCTTTGAATCTAACTGCTTTGTGTGTATGTGTGTGCACATTGCAGCTGGCAACATGGGACCCAGTTCATGGCCTGAATGGCACACTTACAGACAGGAAACTGGAAAATAACATGAGAGGAGTGGTGCTACGAGTCGTCACTGTTTTGGTGAGTAAGACTGATGAGTGTGTTAATCTGAAAGCTGTTTTATTATTCTGTGATTTTCAATGGGCCTTTCATAAAAAAGACCTGGGAACACTGTTCACCCTGAAGAATGTTATGACTAGTGCTGTCAGAAATCTGTCCTTTTGTCCAAATTTCTGCCCATGATTCAACTCTGTCTCTGTGGTGGTGTAGAGAGGGACAGATTGAGAGGGACAGATCGAGAGCTTGTATGAGGGAAAGAACATTCCAGAAAGAAAACATTCATGAGACACAGTGCTGAGAGGCAAAAGAGGAGTCAGAGAAGGCGAGATACAAATAAAAAATTAAACAAGGTGAGCTTACAGATGGACCAAACTAATCACTTCATTAGTTTCCATTTTGACATTAGACAGCTAGATGATTATAGACCAGTGGAGTTATAGTGGGACTCCAGCTCTGTCTGTCTTGCCTGCAGCATTGATTTGAGCACATCCCACGAGTGCCTTAACGATTCACTGCTGTAAATTCTTCATACTCTATCTTTGAAGTGAGAAGCAGAGAAGAAAAAAATGATAATGCCAGACATCTTTGTGGTTAATGCTTTTTTTTTGCTCTCATCTTTTGCTAGTTTTTGGTTTTCATTATTCTTGCCTCCTGTAGGTGTACTGTGCATATACATTTATGTTCTGTGTTCTATGGCTCCTTAGTGTTTCATGATCCATACCTTTGGTTGTGTAATTTTGGCTGGGTATACGTGTGTGGCTATACAGTGTGAGGACCAGCTGAGTTTTATACAATGGAAGTGATCACATTTGACTGGTCTTCACTTTCTTGATGTCTTAGTTAGGTTTTGGTTTGGGTTAAACAATCAGTTGCGATAGTAAAGGTTAGGGTAGGGAGGTAGAGAATACAATATGTCAGTGAGTGTCCTTACAAAGACAGCTGTACAAAGATGTGTGTAAGCTGTGTTACTCTAACAATGCCTCATCAGGGCCTTAAGACAAAAATAGATAGATTGTGTGAAATGTCCAGGGTGCTGCCTGAACATACTGTTTGCTTTTTCATGTGAGAATGGTTGGAGGGCACTTCTTGATCATGCACATGTGATTGTGTGTGTATAGATGATGTGAGGGTTTGTAAAGGGACCTTTGGAACAGATTGTTCTGCATCGCCCTGGGCGCTTCCTTCTCTGATATAACTCTAAGGTTCTGTGGTTTCACAGAGTGGCTCTTCCTCTGAAACACACAGAAGCAATAGAGCAACGCTTGTGAACATACACATACACAAACAAACACACATAAACCCACAAAAAGAAGTGTTCATTCTAGTCTAGCCAGCCAGCCAGACTCAAGAATAGTTATTGATTAATTAATTGGTGATGAAAATATGATTAGGGCCAGTGACTCTAAATCATGGCCATCAATTAAGCGGCACTGTATTGAATATTAAATCAATATTATCAAGGAATGGCTACATCACTATAATTATGTATTCATGGCCTTCTGTCACCCTCAGTGGTCATCTCTTTCTGGTCACAAAATGCTATCAAAATATTAAAATTAAAAAAAATTAAACAGTTACATTAAAATAACGCATTCAGGACATGAACATGATTTTCTTTAGATGTAAGACTCTGAAAGTACAAAATCTCACGGCTTATAAATTTCCACTCATTGACTTGCACGCGTTCCTAATTTAGTTTGAGTCATCTCAGCAGCTGAATTTTCGTCTTTTTGTAATATTCTGTGCTCCTTAATATTTTAAGGACGCGCCCGCATTTCCCTAGGTCTACTCTCCATTTATGAGAATCAAGCTTAGGCCAAATATGCAGCCAAAGGCAGACGATATCCCTTTTTAACTTGATTATGCATTTTTAAAGATAATGAAAGAATGCTCACAGTGTTTTCCCCCAAATGCAGCATAATTTTAACTTTGGAACCTGATAAGGTCCACAAGTCAAATTACAGAGAAATTCACACTACAGTTAAAAGTGTTGTGATGATTGATAATAATGTTTCACAATAGCATCTCCTCTTTTAGTGCTTTTAGTAAAGTAATAGTCTAGTTGAGCCATTTACATGTGTACATACTGACAATTCTGCATAGTAATAAAGTAATATCATTATTATCATATTGGTCATTTTAGCCAAAATTAAAGATTTACTACACTGCAATAAATACTGAGAACATGACTCTTGAAGCTTGGTTATAGATGGGATTAGAGAGAACTGACTGTTTGCTTTTGTAAAAGGAAGAGAAGCTTAGAATCATATTCCTCTAAAGACCTAAATGTCTGTAAATCCAGTATATCGTTAGAATATCGCTAGCTGTGCTCTTTTAACGCTATTGATTTGTAATTATAAATCTACATATAAATAACAAAACAGCAACATTTTAAATTTCATTGCAAGTACAAGAATGGTAAACAGGAACAAATAAGTACATCTGCATAACTCCAGATTAGGCCTACACTTTGCAAACCTGTTGTTCATTTCATTATGCAATATTCACACATAGCAACTACAGTATGGTTAAGAACTTAAATGAAAATGTCCCCCTGCAAAACAAATAAGTCTATATGTTGTTAGAGCAATGTGTTAGAAATAGATAACCTCTACTGGCCATAGTAATTTTGACACTAGTAAAAAATGTAGGTGATATACTATAGAAAACCACAGTGTTAGGGGGAGAAAGCTGAGACAAATGTACTGGTCAGAAAGCACAGGAAATGTCCCACAAGAGACCTGTGTGAAATATTTTTTTTTACCCATGGTCACTCTACAACCTTAATTGTGTGTTTATTATTGTAACTATGATGACAAAGATTACTTTATCCCAAACCACAATAAACTTGACCAATTAGTAATTGTACCTAAAGCCGATGAAACCACGATGGCTCTATAATCATGTTTGATTGTTTCCATGACAACAAGGATCCGGCACACTGCCTGTGGAATGGTTGTATGGAGCATATGATTGTTTCCATGACAACAAAGATATGGTAAGCATGGCACTGGAAGAGTCCTATGGGTTGTGTTCTGAGATAGGGACAGGTGACATACTGTCTATTGCTGTTTGGGTTGGAGGACTTAGATTAATTGTACCGCCATGAAAATCACATGTGCCCAAACCCCTACTGGCTATACCGTGTAAATGTTACATCCCCAAATCAGAAACTGCTGGAATGATATGTAAAACCAAAGTTAAGACTGAAAATAGTGATTGTAAATCATCTGTGTTACACTGAAAACAATACAACAGTACATTATTTAATGTGATACCTCATCAATTTCTTTTCTTTGTTCAAAATAAACACTCAGGGGTTTGGGCATATGTGACCTTCATGGCAGTGAATGTTAGCATTGAATGTATATTTTGATGTGGCATGTGAGCTGTAGATTTTGTCAGTATGAATGTGATTCCTCAAGATACCGAGCTGTCCGCTGACTTGGTCTGTCCAAGCTGAAATCCCTAGATTTCCCTAGAGTCCCTGTTGTTTTATGATACTGATCAAGACTGAGAGAAAATTCATTTTTACAACAATATGAAATCTAATCTTCTGCAAGGCTTTTCAAAAATACATTTTACACCAATTTCACAGACAATTCCACAGAGTGTTGAAAATGCTCACCATGCTGCAAATCACCACATGACTGTGTCATTCCCAGCATTCCCTCAGAGGGCTCTTCAAATGCCATTAGTCAGTCTTTCTGGAAAGGTGTTGTCCCTTTCCCCAGTCACACTTCCAGATACACCCAAGCACCACCAAGACCACGTGGTACTTCCAGTCAAGAGGAAATAAGGGATGAGGTTGTGCTGAAGATATTAGTGTAGATGAAAGGAAGGAGGTGGAGGGGATGATGGGAATGAGAGATGGGAGTAATAAAGACAAAGAGACAAAGATAAGATGGAGAAGAAACACTGTTGAATATAGGGATGTAAAATTATATTGCAAGGATAACAAGTGGGATGTATCGTAGCCTCAATGGATGGAATGATTAATGAATTCACTGAGAGAGATGAGGTGTCTTAGACATATGTTTATGGAAAGCAGGAGATGTTGTGGTTTGGAAAGATGCCAAAATATGTATATCACAGCTGGTGAGATGCAAGTGAAAAGAAGGGCAGAAAAACAGCAACAGAAGGAGAGGTAGGAGATAGACAGATTAGCATCACAAAGCCAGACTGCATCTCTCAAGGTAATTTTTCATTGCAAGATATTAGTCTGGAAAACACTGATTGTGTATCGAGTGAGCCCGGCAGCTAAAAGCCAGACCAATCAGTGAGCTATGGGAAGTGATGCTCATGTGACTCATTGCCTCTCAAAGGTCATGACTAAAGCTCTAATTATTTTAGATTAGGCATTTTTCACCTAATGCATTTTTTTATATGGAATATTTACTCTCCAGTTTGAGATATTTGACAGTGAATCATGTTGAGATCTAAGTGAAGGAGAATACTGACAAATATTAAACAGCCCACTTGAAATGACATCTGAGTCAAGCAACCTTTGACCTTGAACAATGAGCTTAGCTAAAATTCTGGGTTGACACTAGAGAGACATGAGGTGCTTTTTTATATTCTACTCTCCTCATCCTTTACCTACAGTACATTTTGGTCAGATAAAATACCAGACATGCATTCCAGGTTTCCATCATTTCCTGACCCTGACATACACACACTAACTAACACAAAGTTCCACACTCATCTTCTTTTCTTGTATTGATTTGGTGCTGCTGTTGGTTGTGCGTATGTTATGCTTGGGTGTTGTGTGTCTCCATTGGGCAGTGCCTGAACATGGATTGGGAAGCAAACAATGCACAATTTCTGTAGCTGAATTATTTTTAGGAAAACACCGAAAGAAGATGAAAATGGGAGAATGTGGAAGAGGGATTAATTAAAGGTGTTCAGAAAGGAGATCTTTCCAGTTTTTCCAGAACAGTTCCCTTTTTTGATGTAATTTCCCAAGAAACCAAACATTTTTTTCTCTCTACTGTCTTTTCTTTACTGACTGGTAAATATGTAACATCCAGCTAGTTTAGCTTAGCTTATTTGAATGTTTAAGACTCCTGTTGTGCTACCTTTCAGATATAGAATGAGAAGCGTCTTAACTTAGTGCTGCAGAAAATTGTGTGAATAGTATTCTTGCACCCTCATGTGTTTGCTTGCAAAACCATTGATAATGAGGCCTTAATATCTAAAAATGTCATTACTGATATTGAAAACATGATTTATCTTGGAAATGAGCTTTTCTTTTGTGAGCTTTCACCTAGTTTCCTGCTCTCCTTGTTAAAACTGCCCTATTTCTCCTTGTGCTGTGTTCACTTAATAACCTAAAATGTCAGCATTGTTGGATGTAATTTAACCTCAACAGGGAGTTGCCCTTTAGATGCCATGGTTATACTGATAAATAAGAGGTTCGGCTGTGCCAAGTGCATTTAAAAAATAAACCAATAAACAAATCTGATGAATTGCATTGTGCAATTATTGATTTTCAACATTTTAATTTGCTTGAAAAATGTAAAATAAGTTATATTTTAAATTATTATGGCTCTCTATATGAGTAAAAACAAAGCTGAGTAGTAACGTTTGGGAGCCCAACTGAACCAAATGTGTGTACTGTCATTTAAAATGACCAGTGTAAACAGATGGATAGATTTCTATTATAGCATGTTGTTGCATCTATTTTGTTACATTTGTTACACAACAAAAATCATATTGTTAAAGAGGGTGTCTAACAATGGCATTTAGTTTGCTGCAGTTTTCATTTCTTGTTCTGTGTACAGTAGTCACTGATCATTTAAGATACGCTGTGGAGTTTTTGGCCTCTAGAGGCACTGTAGAGCAATGTTTAAAGAGCGTTAGTATTGCACATTGTACTAGCTAAGGAGGAGACACGTATGACACAAGAGACGGGAATGTGATACGCGTTTTACTAACATGAATGAGATTTTATCCTGGCTGAAACACAAAAAAAGCATAAATAAACCAAAAAGTTCTTTTTATGTTTAATATTTGACAGTAATAACATTAGTTGTTACATCTACTTTTACTTTTTGGACATTTCACTGATCATTGTAAAGTCATGTGAAACCTTTTTGGATGTGTATTGTAGGCTCTCACAGCTATTCTCCAATCTTTCAGGATGAGTGTTTGTGAGGGTATAATGGCCACTTGTGTAACTGCGTGATTTAAAGAATGACTTGTGTATTGACTGGCTGCTTGACTGATTTACTGACACACTGACTGATTTTTGCCTTGTAGGAGGAGCCGTTTGTAATGGTGTCAGAGAATGTTCTGGGAAAACCAAAGAAGTACCAGGGGTTTTCAATTGATGTCCTGGATGCTCTGTCCAACTACCTGGGCTTTAAGTATGAGATCTATGTTGCTCCAGACCACAAATATGGGAGTTTGCAGCCTGACGGTCAGTGGAATGGACTGATGGGTGAACTGGTGTTTAAGGTGAGAATAAAATTATTTACATGCACAAAAATATGTACAGTTTAAGCACATCACAGACACACACAGGTATACAAGAACAAACCATGGGATAGTGAAAAACAATGATATGGATTGAATATATGAGAATTTAGCTTGCAGAAAGAACATAAGAGGGCGTGTTTGTTGCATATTGATGCACACATACTACACCATTACACAAGCAGGAAAAGCAGTCATGTACGCTACCAGGCTCACACCATAAGTATCATTTAATCTAAGTCAGACTATAGCATCTTTTAGGTTGTGTCTGTTCTTGAGTCCCATCATAACATTCCCATTAGAAATCATGCCATTTCAAAAGTACAATGAATATTGAAATTAAGCTGCCACAGGACTGAGTTGAACTTCAATAAATTGGAGAGAGAGATTTGGACAGATTCAGTCACTAACTATTGCAACTTCTGGTCCTAAATGAACTAGAGAGGTGCTGACTTAGATTTAGAGAAGTGATTTGACACAGCAGATTTCTGAGGATTTGATTATCTTCAAGTATCTGATGCTTAACTCCTGGCAGACACTGGAACTGCTTCAGTCAAAAGTGAAGATGATGTTTCTCAAGAGCATACAGCTATTAATGTGGATTGGATTTTTGGAGAAGTTTCCAGTTTGAGGGCAATATATTGGCACAGTTAGATGCTAACATAGCCATTGCAGAATATGCAGTAGGTTAGCTGATTTAGCCCCAACTTTGTACCAAAGTACCAATTTCACTGTTGTGTAAGAAACTTCCATTCTTTTGTGCTGCCACACTTAATTCTCCTCAATTTAGATGTCAAAGCTATGTTGATCGATGCCTGTTCCAGCATGTAAACACAATGCTGAGCATGAGATTAATTTGTTCAACCCACAATATTCCGTAGTGAATGTTTGATATTATAGCCCACCCACTCATGTTTGACTCCTTTGATTGTTTACAGCAGAAAAAATGCACAGAAACAGATTTTAAGAAACTTCACGTTCAAACCTGATCTCCATCGAACATTGGAAAACTCAGAGCACATGCAGGAACTTTGTTGTCATGCTCATTCTCTATCCTTCCCTGTAGAAAAGACAGAGAAAAGATTATTTTATTTACCCACAACAACAAAGGCTACACAAACACTTAAAGCAAACATTATAAGCCATTATAAGAACAGACTAAATAGCTCTTGGTTTATCAGACATTTTCTGTTCCTCTGGGCCTTGGTTCTTAAAAATATTCATTGAATGTTGTCATGTAGGGGCCTGCCAGGAATAAGCCTTAAGCTCACCTTAGTTCCTAAGAGTCACAACATTATAATGTATTGATTGCTAAAATGGACACAACCGAGCCAACAAAAATGCAGTAATAGAAACAGTGGGACTTTTTTTGTTTGTTTGTTTTAATACCCGATTCGAGTAGAGAGGCAAGATTATAGAAATATTTCAGCTGGGTACAACACTGTCAGCATTTAAAGTGGGTTTACTAAGATAATTACTACTATAGCTACTTTGGTATTTTATATACTAACAGTTATAATTTGTTGCATTCAAGATAATAAATAGTGTTCTTTTTTATTTTATCTTATTTTTATAGAGGGATGAGGAAAACTACACAGACAATGTGAGGAGATAGAGGGGGACACATGTACAATAGGTCTGCGACAGGACTGAAACGCTGCAATTCTGTGGCCTGCGCCATAAGCACTCAGCTATTACAGTACTTTTAATTAACAGTATTTAATAACACAACTTTGAAAAATCAGATATTTAAATGAGTCATTATCCAGTATAAATGATTAAAATATTTTGAACCTGCTTAGATGTGTTATGTACTGTTAAATGCTGAGACAGCTGGTATTAGATCTGTAGTAAGTAACTGCCAAGTGATAGAGGTCAATGCATGTTTTTTGTGCCATAAGCAATTATCTCTCAAATAAACACTGCTGTACTGTGATGTCTCTTTAATAAAACAGTATATGTAGTTTACTTTGATTTTGGAACATTTATTCACAAATAGAAAAAAACTGCTGTGGCAGAAGTACATCCTCATTTATAGCAATTCAACTGTTCTCACGCTTTGTTATACAATAAATACTATGATAATATTTAATTACCATTTCCGACTGTGTGTGGGGGTTTGTGCAAGTGCATATCTGCATGTGTGTGTGGGTCTACATTACTCTTTGATGTCCTTCTGGAATTGTACTAAACTAAACCGACAAGCACAGACTGTAAATAAACTAAGTATACAAATAATTTTGCTTCCTCCATCAGCAAGCAACAAGGTTTATCTTTCCAAAAATCCAATTATACCAGATAATTATTATCCAGGGTGCGCTCTGGAAGGTTCTCTGTTGATTGACCACAGCAGTCAGCATGTCAATTCATCTCTACATACACACACACACACTTGTACAGAGTGCATATTGCTATGTGCTGTGTTGTCTCAACCAACAGGCATCCTGCAGGGCTGCTCCTTTGCAGTGTAAGTGACAGTTTCTGCACTTTTAAGTATTTTGTTTCCTCACTCAAGTGTGAAATTAGCAGGGTTTTTTTGCCTACAGTGGATAAAAAATTTTAAAAATTATTTTGGGTGTGTATGTGTGGTTATGGTTGTAGCGTATGGTGGGTAAGCATGCAAATTTGTTTGTCAGTGTATAATCAGTGTACCGAAGTCAGGCTGGGGCGACAAGCCGGTTGGTTAGCCAATGTCGCAACTGTGTGTGATTGAGCAGACCCCACACCAGCAGGAACAAAGAGCTAAGATGAAGACACTGTGTATAATCAGTGTGAGTCCAGCAGCTGTAGGGCTTAGCGTTTGCCTAAAAAAATTACCTAACAAGTTACAGTCAGTTGTTTCTAGCAACAAAGAAAATCTCATTATCAAATAAGTTCATAGTATGTGCCCTCTCTCGCTTGAGTAAAGATTTCACTCCCACACACAACACAGAGGCAGATGTCTGCAGCTACTAACCAAGCACTGGGGACTGAAAACATTTTAATTAACCACCATTGTTTGGTCATTTAAGATAAGTTCTCTCTATTTTTTCTTGGCAGACATATTTATTGACAGCTTTTTTCAACTTAAGATTGTTACACTTAAACAATTAAAGCACCCATTTGCTGTCTCTTAAAAGTCCAAGAAGTGCAGTCTTTATGTACTACTGAAGTAATGCACTGTATTTAACATGTCAGTCTCTATAAGGAGCAAAATATTATCTGCATTCAGACAGCAATGTGTTGAGATAACTCAGTCTAACCCAGCAACTCCTAGTTTAATTTACATTGCTTAGCTTATTAAAGCACCTACATGATCAGTAAACTGTTCACAAATGAGTGTAGTCAAGCTTTCACAGCATTACAAAATTCAATACCTATGTTTAGTGGGAACAGGGAAGGTTGAGTTACACAATCATGAACACTTAGTGAAACAAAAAATCACCTCCTGAATACTGTCAGCGCTTATGGTGAATTTATTTAATAACAAATTTTAATGTAAGTGTTGCTAGTGTGCTGAGCTGAAATTTTGCTTGGAACCATCACTGCACCTCTTACACACCTGCCTGTATACAGGCGTGCAAAGACCACTTTTTTCTGAAATGTATGTAACAAAACACATTTCCCCATTGGTGATTTTAACATTTATTTTTTGGAGAAAAAGAATACATGTTTCTAAAGTTTCTTTAGTTTATTTTAATGCATTATTGTTGTTGTTTAGAAGAAACAAAACTTAAAGCACTCACCTGCTTCCAGGTACAAAAGTGCATATTGTTCAGCTGCTTATTTTAACAATGTTAATACTCCAAACTCTTCTCTTTTGCCTCTTTCAGCGAGCTGATGTGGGACTTTCTGCCCTGACCATCACACCTGAGCGAGAGAGCGTTGTGGACTTTACAACTCGCTACATGGATTATTCTGTGGGGGTTCTGTTGCGCAAGGCCGAGCGCACTGTCGACATGTTTGCCTGCCTGGCACCCTTTGACCTGTCACTCTGGGCGTGCATCGCGGGCACCGTGCTCCTGGTTGGCATCTTAGTGTACTTGCTCAACTGGCTCAACCCACCCCGGCTACCCATGGGATCTGTGTCCTCAACAACACTGTACAACTCCATGTGGTTTGTGTATGGCTCCTTTGTACAACAAGGTAAGGAAGAAGTGGGGTAGTAGAGGGAGTGAATAGAATGTTGGATGATTATATCAGGCAAAAACATAATTAAGGATTGTTGGAATACACAGATGTGGTGATACAGTAAATATCGTTGGTTTAAAATAACAAACCACTTTTTGTGGTCAGGTTTGCTTGTGCAAAGTGAAGATCCTGTGTATAAAAATGTACAACAAGTAGCTGGTGACACCACTGCATTTGGAAAGTGAACATTATGGTTTCACATGAATGCCCAGTCTCCTAAAAAATTACACTAATATACTTATAATGCAATAGGAAATACATATAGAAAAAAAATGTAATGCTTCATAAATAAGCAAAAAAGCATATATTATTGTTATTATATACCAAAAGTGATCTGCCCCCAACCTATCAAGTGTTTTAACAGCGTTGACCTAACCTCATATGAGACACAGAGTAAGAACCCTGATATTGTGATTATTGTGATCACACATGATTTTAATAAAAAAAAAAAAAAAAAACTGAAATAGCACAAAAGCTGGTGGTCCACCCAGTCACAGGCATTACACACAGAGATGGACAACCACGCTCACATTCACATCTATGGGCAAATTGGAGTCACCAAGTAACCTAACCTGCAAGGGACTGTTCGAGGAAGCTCTCCCAGATGTACAACAGCTTTAGAAACATCTGTAAGACCTTATTTATATTTAGACTGCTTCTCTCTTATAGATTTCTCAGAGCTGACCTCAACAACTGCTTCATCTAAGTCATCAACATGTCTTAAACCCCATCCCAACCAGGCTGTTTTACCACTAATCAACACATCTGATTATATTACACATATTAGACCTGATCAGCCTCTCTCTATTAACAAGCTATGTTCCACAGGCTTTTAAGGTTGCTGCAATTAAACCTCTACTCAAAAAGTCTACTCTTGACCCAGGTGTTCTAGCTAATTATAGACCAATATCCAATCTCCCCTTTATTTCTAAAATCCTTGAAAAGGCATTTGCAAAGCAGTTATGTGAGCACCTGCTCAGGAATGATGTGCTTGAGGATTTTCAGTCAGGATTTAGAGTCCATCATAGTACAGAAACTGCACAGGTGAAAGTCACCAATGATCTTCTCCTAGCTTCAGACAAAGGACTTGTCTCTATACTTGTCCTCTTAGATCTCTGCCGCTTTTGACACCACTGATCACAGCATCTTATTACAGAGACTAGAACATGTTATTGGGATTAAAGGAACCACACTATAATTGGTTCAAATTTTATTTATCAGATTGATTCCAATTTGTTTATGTTCAGTCCCAGTTTACATTGGGTGAGAGGTGGGGTACACCCTGGACAGCTATCTAATGTTTAAAATAAATGACAGTAGCTGTCCTCTGGGTGTTCTAAGTATGGTGTGGACTTCATGTCTGAGCACAATACTCAATTGAGAACAAAAACAAGGAGGGGTTTGTTCCACGTGGACTGAGTGGAGGATAATGACATTATGCCAAAGATTTTCCAGACTATGCTCAGGCATGGACATCAGAAAACTAGGGAAGGTTTTAAATTAAAATTTACTGTATATCAGTGGATCAGCAATAGAGCCACTGTGGTGGGAACAGGGGAAGCTAAGACCACACAGAGTGTGTGTGCATGCTTGTTTTTCAGCAGCTTTGTACATTGCATTGGGTTTCAGTAAGTAACACTGACTGAGCACAGTATGAAAGTGAAACATGTGAATATTCATAGGCTCGGCCTTGTGTTTGACTGTGTGCATGTAAGTGCATGGCTTGTGGTTTAATAAATAAATGATTGCTATAACTTCCCAATGAGCACAGTAGACTCTTCATGTGCCAGGACTCGAAATAGTTAAAGTTTTCAGTCATATTAATTATGCAGATTTTGGAGGCTCTTTTTTTCTTTCTTTTTTAACATTGCCTCTGAAACACATCAGGCCCTGAATAAGCAACTGATGAGCATTCCACCATTTGGTAAATAATCTTCCATCTTGTGCTGCAGTTAATGGTGGTAACGATGATGATGATACATGCTAATTGCTGTTTGATATTCAAAGTCGTTTCTCTTTTTAGAAGTAATTAACATTTTAGTCATGGCATCATTAGAGAGGAAAAAAGAAAGAGAAAGGACCTAATTCTTCAAGAATGGTTTGTCCTCTGTGTATATGTGTTTGTGTTGTGTTTGCTGTACTGTATACAATTGATCTAAGAATGTCAGTTGCTTCCTGTTCGTGTGAGAAGATCTGCTCTTTAACTACAGGTAATTCGTTTGTGATGTGGCTAGCTGGAAATACCTCTTACAAAGTTAACTGACTATGAACAGTCAGCTGCCAAGGGGCTAAGTAGACTGACCTTCACAAGCTTTAAGAGTCACCTGGAATGTCTTTTGCTTTCATCCTGACAATCATTTAAGAATCAGAGATAGAGGCACCTGAATATAAAAGTTATACTACATCCTGCCAAATTAAGCATAATTTGAAAAAACAAAAGCGCAGGTTCAAAAAAGGTTTATGGCAAGTGTACAGTCAGAGCCACCTATACCCCAAATAATCATGCAGCAGTTCTCTCATTCTTCTAGCACCCCTGTAATGTTTCAGACCTTTGTGCATTGCCCTGAATTATTACCCTTAGGGAAAACTGATTCAGATGCAATGACACACACACAGCAGGAGGGAGCTGGAGATGAGTGATGAGAGTGAATAGTCAAACATGTTGCTAGCATTGTGCTTTTGGCCGTGCCAATTTGATAGTGTGAGAGAGGGCAAGAGGAGAATATGGGAGGTGCAGAGGAAATGTACTGATTTCTCCCAGGTCTTTTCTTCCTTACCTCTCCTCCTTTGACTTCTTTCACTGTCATTTGATACCATTCTTTCTTTTCTTTTGATTATCCTACATTTTGGCTCTTTTGCGTCCTTTTGGCCCTTCTCTTTACTGTATGTTCTGCCTTCTTCCATTCATCCATCCTTCTCCCCTTTTCATCTTTACTCTCCCTTGTCATTCTCTCTTTACTCAGCCTCTCCATGTCTCCTGCTCATCAGGGCCACCAAGGTACCAGCCAATTGACTGTATGTTTACAAACTCAGTCATAGGTCTGTTAGTCTAGCATGTAAGTGTGTGGCTGTGCACACATAAGGGCCAATAGAAGGTGTAGTAGGGAAGTGTCTACTCTATAAGCTATGACTAATTGGTCTCAAGGAGAGTGAGGAAGGCAAAAAGAGAGAAAGAGGAGAAGAGGTGAAGTCACAATTGGAAAGACAGCATCTGCCAAAATCTGCTGATTAATTCTTTACTTTGTTAACTGCTACAACAAAGGCCTAGTAGAAATTTTGGGATCTTTGTTCTCAACAATAATGTAATATCTCCTCAAACACATCAGGAACAGTAATTAGACATTTTTATATAGAAATGGCTTTAAGATGTACAAAACAAATAAATAAAATCCCACAGGCATTCATGATAATATCAGGCTGAGTCAGGTATCCATCAGGTTAAAGAAATAAAAGAACTGCACATAGAACAAGGTGGGGCACCTCCTCAGCCACCAGGACACAAGGTTGTACATACTGTACTTTACAGGGCAGTCAATCACACTGAGGAAGAGAACTACAAGGTTAATCAGTCTATGGAAATAAATAAATGAAGTGGTACAAAAATGCATGTTTGCATTTACAGACAGCACACGTCTTTCCTGGTTTGCTCTATGCTAAATACTGTACCAACTACGCCACCATAACTCAAAACATGCAGCAAAGGTGGCCAATGGGAAAGACCATCTGTCAGCACACATCAGTCTTGGATGTTGTGCAGCATGGTTTTGGTTGCACTCCACCTGTTTTCTTCTGAAAGCAGAGCACATTTCCATGGCTACCAGTACAAATACCATTCGGGTATTTCAGCAGTGCATATGGAGAGTGAGGAATATGGGGAAAATAATTTGCAGGTGATCATGCAAAAGTTAAACAATGACAGGGGGCAGAAGTGGTGTATGAACTAGAAACATGGGCAGAGGTGGACAAGGGAATTTATTGAATACCTACCTAAACAGCTATAAATGCACATCTTGCAGAGTAAGGATGTAGTCAGTAATTTTAGTCAAGGATGGAAGATGTTTGATTTGATTTGATTTGATTTATTCTTTCAAGCATGTAAAGACAGTTTATATCAACACACATAATTTTACACATATCCAAAAAATGCTAATCCAATATCAATTTGCTTATACCTAGTACATGCTTGAATGGAGTAGGAAGAAGTCAGACTTATCCAGTCCTACCCCATGACATCATCTTACCATCATTGGTTTGCAAGCAGTATCTCTACAAAATAATTCTCTAATCA